CCCTCTGCTGCCCCTCCCCTCTGCTGCCCCTGCTTCTGCTGCTTCTGGTTGCTGTTGTTGCAGTTTGACAAGAAGTTGGAGCTACTCTGAAGACAAAGATTGGACTGGTCCTAAGAAGTATGCCACCCCTGTAGAGCCTACAACGGGCTATGTCCCCTTTCCCCTCTAACCTTCCTCTCTTCCCTAGTGTTGTGGGGCTGGAAGGGATTAGGGAGGAATAAGGGCTGGAAGGGAGGTAGAGATATAAGAACCCAGAGAGTAGCGTACAAAAGTATACCACCAGGATGTGCTGGTGGCTGGGAGGTTAGTCAAGGGTGGTCAATCACAGAACACTGGGCTGAGTGGTAAGAACAAGAGTAGCCTCTGCTATAATAGGACAGTCTATGCCAGAGTAAATTCATGAAGGAGAGCACCCTCACAACAATGACAACTTTTATTACAAATCAAGTATTTCCTAAAATAAACCTTATTAAGCTGATTTAATATTTGACCCAACTTTTAAATAAATTTGTTTCAATATTTTTTCTACTTTTCTGAAATTATTTTGTGTGAAGAATTTGGAAGTTGGTTCTGAATGGCTAATGAAGTTTTTGGTATTGATTACAGCTGCTATCTTTTGAACTTTGTTGAACATTAGATTGGATTAGGTAAATACTTCTCTTTCTTGCTACTGTTGGATTAGGTAAACACTTCTTTCTACCATGTCTGGGTAGTTTTGTTTTTGTTTTTCATGTTCTCAATTATATTTTTCAAAGGTATCTCTACCAATTCCAGGCTCTAACTTCGATAACTTTCAGCATCCTACAGGACTTGGCTTTGAACCACCAGTTTATATTTCCACATCACTGTCCATCATGGACGGAAGTCAGGGCAGAAACTCAAGCAGGGAAGGAACCTGGAGGCAGGAACTGAAGCAGAGGATCCATACTTCCTGGCTTGTTCCTCATGGTTTGCTCAGTCCACCTGCCATCTTACAGCACCCGGACCCTCAGCCTCGGGTGGTACCTTCTGCCCACAGTGGGCTGGGCCCTCCCATATCAACCATCAATCAAGAAACCACAGACTTAACCACAGGCCAAGGCCAGTTTACTCAAATAAGGTTCTCTCTTCCAAAATGACCCTATCTTAAGTCGAGTTGACATAAAACTAGACAGAACACCATGTTTAAGCTGTTGTCTGTTCTATTTCAGATTGTTTCTTTCAACAATACCCATTGTAATTAAAAGTCCAATATTCAGTCAGTTTTAGAAAAGAGAATTAGGTATATGCATGATCTAACTGCCACTGGGTTGAAACATTAGATCCATAAAAGGTTATTGATTTACCACAGTGGAACAGAATAATCGAAAAGAAGAACAATAAATTTGGTCTTCAATGGCAAATAACTAGGTAAACAATTCTCTACCCTCAAAATGCCAGGAGCCAGCTATCATGTCAAATTTGACATTGTTGGATAAAAGTGCCAAGGAAAAGAACATCCTGATCCTGACTTGACCACAAGCCAGAGATCAGGGCCAAGGGGTGGGGGTTGGGGGTGGGGAGGAGAAACAAAAAACCAGCCCCAAAGCTTAAAATTCCACCAATCCCTGAGCTTCAAGATCAAGCCACAGAATCCCACCAATCAGGCTTCCCGAGAACAGACCACCCTGGAAGCTCTGCTCCCCAAGAAACCCTATATAAACCTGCCTCCTGCTCAGTTATCTGCTGCCCGAGGTTTTCCCTCCAGTAGATCTCCTGTGTGAGGCTTGTTGTGGGGTGTGACTTTGTGGTACTTTCCTGCAGAGCTGTAACAACACAGCACTGGGGAAACCTTCCCCCTCACCGACATACATATCAAGGTCAACGACAACGGAAGGGACCCCTGTCTGTGATAGAGGTGGTCCAGTTAAAAGGAGGGATTGAGCCAAGAAATGCCATTCTCAAGTGGAACGTTACCAAGTTTCTCCTGGGCTAGAATGACTACAGGGCAAAGCTGTATGAAGCTATGGAAGAGCCCCTGGTGATGGAGGACACGTCTTGCTTTATCTAGACCCACTAATATGTGCTCTGGCATAGTGTCCCCTACCCCTGTCCAGGCCTATCCTGGGAGCCTTTCATTTGCATTCACGATTGCCCATCTGTGAACCAGTGGGCTGCTGGGACAGATCTCAGGATCTCGTGCATAACTGTCGAAAAAAGTTCCTGAGGCCTGGGGGCCATATGCTGGCTCTACCCTGACTGTCCTGTGGAAATAAAATGAAGAAACTAGAGTTGAGGGAAGGTATAATGACATTCCCAAGATAGTTAAAAAAAAACCAAACAAACAAAAAACCCTTTATTCATTTAAAAACAACTCATAGACTGATAGTAAATAACTTATGAATACTAAGTTTATTTCTCCACTAAATATGTAGTAAAAGTAGTGATGGTTTATATTTCTGTCTCTTTGTTTGACCTAGTAGGATATGCTGGGTTTGGTTCAGATTTAAAAGGAGAACCCAGTCTCACATAGATAATATGGAAAAGAATGGAATAGTATTTCAAGCTGTGGAAATTGCCCACCGGTACCACACCAAAACGTGATGCTTAGCTCTGCGAAAGTTAGCTGCAGCGGGGAGTCCAGAGTTGTGTTATATATGGAGAACTGAGCCGAGCAGGCACAGCTCTGAAGAAATAGTTTGTCTTATGAGTCATAAACATTTTTATTGTTTTCCTAAAATTAATTATTCTGTCCACCATTATTTATACATCATCTGGGCTGGAACCCGAGATCCTCTTGCCTCTGCCTCCTGAGTTCTGAGATTATAGCCACGTGCCAGTAGCCCGGCAAGCCGGTGAAGTTTTTTTATAGGTTCTAATACCCTGGGGAAGCTTTCATTTATTTTTTTATTTCACTATCAGCATTACTAGTAACATAAGATTCACTTGTGTGAGGTAATTGAAACTATCCTCGATATTAATATCTTTGTGTGTGTGTCACTACATGTATATGCAAGTCACAGGACAATTCTCTAGAGCTATTTCTTCCTTTTCTGTGGGTTCCAGGGTTTAACCTCATGTCACCAGGTTTGCTTAGCAAGTAAAGTGCCTCTACTTGCGGAGGTAAACCATTTCAAAGGTCTGTGCCCAGTCAGTATTAAGGACAGCTGTTGCCGTAAGTACCCATGCTGTGGTTATTATCAGACTGGAATCTGCATCATACTGCAGATCTGTATTGTGCCTGATTTTTATTTTTATATTTTAAAGTGTTTTACATTTATGTGTGTGTGTGTGCAGGCATACACATGTACATACATACACACACTCCATGTTTGTGGAGTGGGAGGATACCTGTGAGAGTTGTTTTTTGTTTGTTTTTTCTTTTCTATAGGTTCTGGGGACCAGACTCAGGCTGAGTAGCAAGTACCTCTACCTGGATGAGCCATCTCCCTGGTTCCTGAGACAGGTTTTTTCTTGGGCAAGGTCACTGAGAAGAGATAGTGTTGTACTGGTAGCTCTGAGGCCTGATGTGCCCAATGTTCTGAATCACTTAAAAAAATAACCATTTCAGCCAGGCAGTGGTGGTGCTCATCTTTTATCCCAGAGGGCAAAAGCAGGCAGATCTCTGTGAGTTTGACATTCTACAGGTTGAGTTCCAGGACAGCCAGGGCTACACAGAAAAACCCTGTCTCAAAAATTCAAAAACAAAAATATGACAGACTTGGTCAAAATAGTTCAGACGGAAGAGGCAAAATTAACACTGTCTACATGAGTCAAGATGTCAAAAACTTTGGATAAAACCCTAAAAGCATGCCAGGCCATGGTTACGTTTTGCTAAAAATAGGATGTAGTCATTTCTGACTGATCTCAGATTTCCTAACCGCCAAATCCTATTCTCTGCTCAGAGCCCCTCCTACCCCTAACTCTTCAGTAGCTTTCCGTTTACCTACTGTTCTAAACTTTTTTGTAGATGTGTGTTCCACAGTACCACATACACTCAAGTCACAGTACTTACCGTATTCTATTGCAACTATTTAACTACTTCCAACTGCATAGAAAAGCTATCTGAAAGGTGGGCTATCTTTCACCCTGGTACTTCCGGAACCTAATGCGGACATTTAACATAAACAATGTTTGGTAGGTCAGCAGATGAATTGTAAACTACACATACCTCACCCATCTGTTGGTCAATTATTTGATGTGCAATTTCTTCTATGGTCGCCATGATCTAATTGTCAAAATATCTGCCAAAGATGAAAAAAAAATCTTTTTACAATTATGTACATAAAATATTTACTGAAGAAACTGTAAGTGAGATTATATGGTGCCTAAGATTTTCTTTAAAATAATCCAGTACGGGTGGTAGTGTCTGAAAGGGAACTGTCCAGTGGTGTGAAGCCTTCCTCTTGCTCCGACCCCTTAACACAGTTTCCCATGTCATGGTGACCCCCAACCAGAAAATTATTTTTGTTACTACTTCATAACTATAATTTTGTTACTGTTTTGAAATGTAATATAAATATCTGATATGCTGGATATCTGAAATGTGACCCCTGTGAAAGGGTCGTTTGGCTCCCAAAAGAGTCCCAACCCACAGGATGAGATCCACTGGACTAGACCAAATAAGATTTGCCATGTACTAGCAATATTGATGGGACATTCTGGGGGATTCATATTAACTATTCCACTTTTATATACTCTGACATATCAGTTTTAAAAAGCGATTCTACCTCTGTGAGTGGATAAAGCTGTTCCTATAAGCCAATGCTGTTATTTGAAAATCCTCATGCCTGGAGTACGCTGCTTTCTGTGACCTATTATTATTGCTCAGGGAGGTCTGAGGCCCAGAGACAACACAGGCAACGCCACTGCTGTTGGGTGCCCATGAGAACTAGTTGTTATTGCTGAAGACACCATACTCTCTGGTCACAGGACATAAAAGAAATCAGGCTGGAAATGACCAGCTTTCAGTGCTAGAAGGTGTTTCTCAGGCTGAGGGGGCTATGGTGGGGGATTGTTATCTATAGTCTTACTTAGCTGTAGACTTTGTGATGGGATACGACTGCCCAATGAGCAAAATGTCCCCACTGGTACAACAGCAACATGTCTGTTATGGGGGTAACCAATTGCTCTCGGCTAGAATTTGAGGCCTGCTTCACAGGAGGCTACTAATTCATTTTTAGTACTTACTGTAACCATCGTAAGACACTACAGCTGGACAGGCTACGATATAACAAGTGACAGATAGAGATCGCCAAGATCTGAGCAAAGCTGTTTACCGTGTCACCATGCAGTCTGTCTTTCTAAGCCATCATTCCTCTACCTTTGGGTCACGTAAACACTACTGGAGAGAGTTCTGTAGCAGAATACTTGCTTACCATGCCAGAAGAGGCCCGAGCTCGATTCCCATTGACACAAAAGCAGTGAGCATCCAAGACAAGAAGGACTTGCCTTTTGAATCTAGTCTCCACTGACTTTATCACTCTCACTTGGTAGCTTCTGTGTTAGTATTGCAGCCCATCAAGGTTCACACAGGTGTTGCCCGTTTCTTGGCCTTGAGGACGGCCAAATCCTATCTAGTTTTCAAGTATCTTGACGACAAAGCCCACTATGGTTAATCTAATTGCAACTTCACTATTTTTTAAAATTTGTAATTTATTTTGTGCATGTCCGTGTGTGGAGGCCAGAAGGGGACATTGGTGTCCGCCACTATTGCTGTCTATTCCTTTTAAGCAAGGTCTCTCCAGGTTCATGTTTTCTTGGCTAGGCTGGAAGACAGCAAGTCCCAGTAATGCCTGTCTCTGACTATTTTGCAAAAGGTCAAGCATACAGATTTACTCTTACCATCTTCTCGATATTCATCACAGCCTGGCTTTATCTATAGGGTCTGGGCTATCACTTGCTAACCGTTACACGCTAGCTGTACACACTCCTAATCCTTGCAGTTGCCATGCTTCCCATCCTTGACAATGGCTTTTCTCTTCATTCTCAGTGTCACACCATCCCTGATCAACGTGTGTGCCCAAGACAGCAGAGAAAACGAAACGAAATAAAACCGGCGTTTTTTCTTTTTAAAAGTTTTTTTTTATTATGTATATGTATGTACATAGGTTTGTGCACAGGAATGAAAGTGCCAGAGGAGGCCAGAAGAGGGTGTCGGAGACTTTGGAGATGAAGTTACAGGCAGCATTGAGCTGCCCAATGTGGGTGCTGGGAAAGTAACTCCCGAAAGCAGCCAGTGCTCCTAACTGCTGAGCCATTTCTCCAGAGTCCTGTTTTATTTTTTTTAGTGTAGGATTCCACGTAGCACGTCTGGCTTTGAACTTGCTATGTAGCTAAGCTCTAACCCTCCTGCCTCTCCCTAAGTATTGGGACTACAGGCAAGTGCCAACATAGTCTACAGACTGTTGATGGCTTAAACCAGTCTACTGTCCCAGGAGAGTAATTTTGCCACCATACAACAAAAACCTTAAAGTGCTTACCCTCTCAGCCATAGAGGCTGAGTCAGAGTTTCAAGTTCATGGTTGGCCTGTTACAGACTGCTAGAATTCAGAGTTGTAATCCCAACTGTAATAGCTACTAAATGCATAGTTTATTTTATAATACCCTTCAGGCACTTAACCTGAGGCTGTTTCTTCAGAAATAAGACCGCCAACACCATCTCTTTGAGAGGTTAAAGAGTGGATAGGTGAAAATACATGTGTATCTAATGGTCCCTAACAGGCAGTAAGCATTCCATGTAGGTTAGTGGAATGAACGCAGTGCTCACCAAGGGAGCAAGAGGACACGGCAGAACAAGACTTTCAAAGACTTAGAAAAAGCTCATGAAAGAGACAGCTGAATTAGTCATCGAAGGTCATGTATTTTTACTAGGCCGAGGCAGAAATTGAAAAGCTTGAGGATTGGGGCTGGAGAGAAAGCTCAGAGGTTAAGAGCTATGGCTGCTCTTCTAGACGACCTGGGCTTGATTGCCAGCACCCACGCGGTGGCTCACAATTGGCTGTAACTCCAGTTCCAGGGGATCTTACACCCTCTTCCGGTCTCTGTAGGCAGGGAGCACACACATGGTACACAGGCATACATGTAGACGATCTATACAGCCACATAGATTACATCAAATTAAACTGTAAGAGCATCAGGATGCTCCCCTCACTGCCTCAGAGTTATGAACCGTGATCACATCCGCTTGGCCCCATCTCTCCATCCTTTCCACACAAATGGCATAATTAACAGAAACCTCCTCAGTTTATTAAACTATGGATCTCCACCCCATACAAGATCAAGCAGTGCTCAGCACAGGAGTCAGCACACGTCTGGCAACCGTAGAAAGGTTTTTAAATGAGTAGTGACCAAAAGTTAATTCAGAATCAAATACCCAGTAATTCCTAGGTGTTACTGACAGCACAGATCCATCCATGCCATATGGAACCATGTCACTGAGATGTTCTTTTTTTAAATTTTATTTAATGTATGAGCGTTCTGCTGCATATACATCTGCAGGCCAGAAGAGGGTATCAGATCATCCTACCCATGGTTGTGAACCACCATGTGGTTTGCTGAGAATTGAACTCAGGACCTTTGGGAGAGCAACCAATGCTCCTAACCACTGAGCTATCTCTCCAGCACCCACTGAGATCTTTTTCTAGAACACAGAACATGTGCATTTTGTACTGTGCATGCTGTCATGACACAGAACCCCATGGACTCTGCCTGAAACATGCCAGCCCAGACTACTGGGTGCTATGAAGTTTCTTTCCCCCATAGAAACTTTCCTGTTTTTACAGAAACATAGTCGTTTAATGTACATAAAATCATAATGTAATTATTTGTAATCATAAAAAAATTTTCAAATATTTTCCCTACCATCTTTCTTTAGCATTTAATTATTAAATTAGAGTACTGAGGTGGATTGAAGGAGAATGGCCCCTATAGGCCCCTGTGTTTGAATACTTGGTCCCCAGTTGGAGGACTTGTTTGGAAAGATTAGCAGATGTGTTCTTGGAGGAGGTGTGTCTCTGGGGAAGGTTTTGAGGTTTCAAAAGCCCATGCAATTTCCAGTTAGCTCTCATGTGTGTACTCTCTCTGCCTTCTGGGTGCCTTCTTAACCTGTATACTGCCAGGCACTACCCCAGTACCGCACCTGCCATACTCCCCGCCAGGATGGCCATGGATTTTTTAGCTCTCTAAAATTGTGAACCCTCAAATTACATGCTTTCTGTTATAAGCTGCCTTGGTCATGGATGCCACTGAAATAGAAAAAATAAGATGAATACATTACTGGATTGTATAAATTACTGCATGATTTTAAAAACTGCTATTGAGGGGTATGGAGAGATGGCTCAGCAGTTACCAACATATGCTGTTCTTACAAAAGACCAGGGTTCAGTTCCCAGCACCCACATTAGATAGCTTACCATCTTCTGTAACTCCAGCTCCAGAGAGCTGACATCTGGTCTGCATGGGCACCTGCACTTAGTGTACACAACCCCCCAACATATTCACACATGATTAGTATCTTTATTGAAATTAAGTATGTATGTGTATTAGTCAGGGTTCTTCTGGGTAGCCTCTATACAGTAAGGGAATTTGCTGATGACTTACAGTCAGTCTATAGTCCAACTCCCCAGCAATGGTCAGCAGCAGCAGTGAATGGAAGTCCAAAGTTCTAGCAGTTGCTCAGTCTCACAAGGCAAGTAGACGAAGAAGAGAGACTCTTCCTTCGTCCAATGTCCTTATATAGGTCTCCAGCAGAAGGTGTGGCCCAGGTTAAAGGTGTGTACCGCCACACCTGAATCTGGGACTTTGTCACAGATGACCTTGAACTCAGAGATCTCCTTGCCTTAGTCTGCTGGGATCCATAGCCATTATGCCTCAAGATCTCCATGCCAAGATCCAGGTCAGAAACTTGTATTTCCCAGCCTCAAGGTCAGGATCACAGGTGAGCCTTCTAATTCTGGATTGTAGTTCATTCCAGATATAGTCAAGTTGACAACCAGGAATAGCCACTGCAGTATGTATGAATGTATGTGTATAGGTTTTTCAAGACATGGTTTCTCTGCGTAGCCCTGGCTATTCTGGAATGTCCTTTGTAGATCAGGCTGGCTTTGTAGATCACTATCTCTGCCCCCACTTCCTGTGCTGGGATTAAAGGCACATGATCATACTTGGCTCATACAAAATATTTTGTTCATGTTTTTCTCTTCTCCCAATGCCTCCTCATCTCCCTACCCATCCGATTTTATATTCTTTCTTTTCTCTCTTTAAAACAAAGAAGAAAACAAGAGACATACACATAAAAGCCCCACCAAAAAAAAAAAAAACCCACAAAAATGGAAATCAAAATAAGAAGCGAAAGGACAGGAAGACAGAAAGCGCCCAGGCAACAGGAAAATGCCACGGAGCTCCTGTGTTGGGCGTAGCACTTGCCCCGAGGTGAGACTCCACTGGAGAAGCCCTTTGCTAGTTGGAATTGACTGCAGATAGCATCTTGTACAGGGGTGGGGATCTGCCCACTCCCTGCTCAGCGCTGGGACCAGTCTGTCTTGAAGCTGTGCAGGCCTTGTGCTTGGTGAGCACAGTCTCTAAGAATTGCTGTTCTATCCTTTCCTGAAGCTGAATGCTCAATTGCAGCAAGACATTGAACAACATCCCTCAACCATCAGCCCTGTGTGCGCTTTATTTTATTTATTCTGATTTTTAGAGTCAAAGTTTCTCTGTGTAACCCTGACCATCCTAGAACTTGCTTTGCAGACAAGGCTGGCCTCAAACTCAGAGGTCTACCTGTCTTCTGGCTCCCAAATGCTGGGATTAAAGGCATGTCCCACCACTGCTCAGCTATAAAAAGCATTTTAAAGTTAACCACAAATGTAATTTCATAAACTAAAGCTAGCACTTCTATTAAAAATTATAAGCAATATTCACTTGTATTTTAGGACAGTACTGTTTTTTAGTTATGGATTTTTTTTTAAACAAAATCTCAATCATTTGATTTTTACCAATGAAGACTCAAGAGCCAGATGCTGGGGTGAAAGCCTGCTAGCTCAGAGAGACAGAGAAAACAACCAGCTGACCTTCCTCCTCAGCCGATGTCCCAGAAGCAATGCCCCACTCTCAGGCTGTCTCTAAAAACTTTCAACCAAATGTCCCTCCCTTCTGCTTCCTGTGTGTCTATCCGTCCTCCTGACTCCTAACTCTGTTGTTTTCTTAATAATCGTAAATTCACTTCCTGTCACCTGGTTGCTTACTCGACCTATGGTTGAATTTATTTAACCCTGTTCATAATATTCAAGCAGAAAGCTCTTGAATTAAAAGGTATGCACGGTAAGGCTGAGCCACACCTCAACTAAAAACAGGTTTTTCCAGTAAATAACATGATCTCAGGGTTCACAGTGTGATCAAATATTCTCCAATGGAGAATTGTCTAACTCTTTCCAGCCAGGTTGTAGAACACCCAAAGTGATAAGAAAAAAAAAATTAAGTCAAATCATCTTTGTAATATAGATTTATTTCTAGTAATCATGATGATGGGAAAATAAATAAATAAATAAATAAAACCCCTTGGCTTGATTTTTGATGAGACCTTGGCTACAGAGACCATGAAAGTAGCTGAATTGACACCATAATAATAAGTTAGCAACACACTGCAATACACTAAAAGAATATTTAAATATTCTTAAAACTCTTAAAACTGTCCAGCATAAGGGGAGACGAAGCCTAGACAGTTGTTACCGTCAGTGAGAAGCATTTATTTGTATCTTACAAAGATTCCCATTTAACTGCAAAACTTGTGCTTGTGGACACATACAGTGGATATGTGTGTTACCATTAAAATATTAGCAGTAGCTCATGGAAGAGGGGAATCAATAATCGGGGCCTGCTGAAAGAACCAGGCTAGTGACGGAATTCTTAAGGTTTCTTTATTAAAAGGCGCTCCCTCCGACACAATTTCCAGAATTAATGCCACCAGTTCCGTTGCTTTCTTAGCAGGTTTAAGGGAAGTTATTCATTGAGATACCACAGCTAGTGTCTCTATTACAGTATAGTTGTTGCTTTAAGATATGTGTAGGAAGGAAGGAAGCGTATTTGGAAAACTGCTTTATTGCCCTGTGGAGGGGCACACAAGCTGGGAAGATATTAATCTTAACATGAAGGTTCACAGCTAAAAGGTCTCCTTAAGATTTTGCATAGATGTTGATGGAGAAACTGTAGGAGAGTGTGTTGGCCTGTGACAGAATTTAAAGTTTGCAGAAACAAATGTCCTTTCACTCAGTGAATGGTCCATCAGGAGGCACCTGTGGCCAGGATGTCTCCAGTGAGTTGTGTTTGGCAGAACTGTTCATTACAAAAAGCTGTTCTCTTCATTCTGTTTTCCTAGCCTGGCAAACAGACTTGGCTTACAGAGTCCCTCAGCATGCAGGGGCGGCTCTCAAGACACTCAAATCTGAAGGCTACTGAAACTGAAAGACGATGTCTCTTGGTTCGACAGAAATTCGAGTTGGTTAGGGTTTTGTTTGTTTGTTTGTTTCTATAATGATTTATGGCTCTCAAGACTGTTATTTGTCAGATAGTTTTTTAAATATTCAATGATTTAAACATGTTGCTTCAATGAAGTAATTGGAATATATTGATGTTAAAAGATAAAATTTGAAAGTCTTACTAAAAAATAGCTCACATGGAAAAACAGGGTGAAAACTGGTTTTTTTGGAGATGTTTACAGTGGAGATGACTTTATAATGGAAAATAACCTCCTTAGGCAGGAAAGATGGCTCAAGGGTTAAGAGCCTAAATTTCCTTCCTCCACCCATATGGTGGCTCTACCCCCCTGTACCTCCAGTTCCAGACGATCTGAAACCCTCCTCTGGCCCCCAGGGCCACAGTACCCTTGTGATACACAGATATACATTCAGACAAAACACCTATACACATAAATCATTTTTTTCCTGAAAACCTGATGGGGATTACCCTCCCCTAAAAGTCACAAGTTCATACTCCTTTACACCCCAATGCTATACACTAAATGTCAAGGTTTACAAAGCATGCCATCAGTCCAAGGAATTGCCTTGGTAAACTTTGAGCACTTTATCACACTGAACACAAACCATGCTTCTGCAGCACACACCATCTCCTACCACACTTGTTCTATTGACTTCTAAGACTTCACTCGAATTCCCCCCTACCCACTATTTCTGACCGATCCACTATATACTGTGTACAGGAAGAGTTAGCTGGGATTTAAGGACAAACTTCTCTCTCTCTTTTTTTTTAAAGATCTATTTATTTATTTATTTAATTTTTCTTTTTTTGGTTTTTTCGAGACAGGGTTTCTCTGTGTAGTCCTGGCTGTTCTGGAACTCACTCTGTAGACCAAGCTGGCCTCGAACTCAGAAATCCACCTGCCTCTGCCTCCCAAGTGCTGGGATTAAGGACAAACTTCTCTTATTTCTATTAATTCTTAAAACTTTCAAACAGAGGCCCATTTTTCTAGGCTTGATTTTTAAAGGTTGGGGTGTGTGTGTGTGTGTGCACGCACACACACACAGACACACACAGATGATCTTATAGTACTACTTACTCTATGATGTTTGTCTTTGCTATCACTGGAATAGGAATGTCACACTTCACCACACCCACAGTAGAGATTTAGGCTTTGTTGCCTTGTATCTGTCACTGTCAAAGCCTTTCAACTGAAAGTGTTACACAGAATGATGAAATCCGGTTACATTTATCTTCGCCATATGTTTGTTTGTAATGGATACAAGTATCAAGTATCTTCTTTAATGACAGTGGAAGCAACATTAAAACAGCTTTTGAAACTAGAGTTACGAGGCTACAAGGGAACAACAGTACGGAAGCTCTAACCTGGTAACAGGAATTTTGGTTACTGCCACTTGATAACTATAGGTCTCTGGAACGACTGCAACTGGAAAAATTACATTGTATCCAAAGGTTCAAGATGAACACCGAAAGGTTACTGGACACATTGATACAAAGGACATACTACCTTTCCTTTATCTTCTATATGTCTTCAGGGGTTTGGATACATGGTTTCCAAACCAGTCTCGCCAAGAACTCCAGGTGACCTTTGCTGCTTTAGCCTCCTGAGTACCGGGATTATAGGCATGCGTCACCAGCCTGCCTCCTTCCTATAGGTCATCCAGACTCTGTTCTTAATATTAAATGGTCCACAATAAACTCCCACTTTTCTTACCTTCCTTCTGTCCCCCAAACTCCAACTCCCAAGACACGTTCCCCAAACGATTTTCTTTTTCATCTTTGCTGTTTGATTAGAATAGATCAATAATCTCTTTCCAAATTTACCCAAGTGGACATATAAAGTTTAAAAACAATTACCCAACCGGGTAATCAAGCAGACACTGTTTTAAAAACAAAGAAAAACACGTCCCTCGAAGTCTAAGACATTACTAACAACTTCCAAGCAGTGGAAAAAAGCCCTAAAACGGATTTAACTTCAAGTCTGTTTTGTTTGTCCTTTCCAGTTTAGGCTGACCTGCTTAACTCAGGGGTAGGGGACAACCTGGCAATATCTGGACATCAGGAGTCGTTATCTGCAGAAATTGGAGGCAGGGCTCCTAACAAAAGAGCCACTGGAAGCTTTGATTGTGTCCAGTGCACGAGATAGCCCTAGGCCACCTTCCCTCAAAGACACAGCCGCAGCTGATGCAGGTCCTCTCCGTGCAAGCTAATCTTGAGCCGGCGAAGGTGTCATCCCGTAGCCCCGGGGTACATGGCCCCTCCGGTCCCGCGCCCCGCAGCTCCCAGCCCTGCACCCACCACGCGCGCAGCCCCGGGGCGGGGGAAGCGGCGCCGAGACGGAAGCGTTCCCTGTGGGTGAAAGGTCACCGTCCCCGTCCCCGCCCGGCCTCCCACGGCTTTGGGCAGTCCGCTACCGCCCGGCACTCGGCTAACCGGGAGCTGGGACACTCGGGGACACGAGCGCTCGGGCCGCGATTCTCGGCGGTTGGGCCGCCCGGCACCCGACTTACCCCTCCCTCCGCGGCGGCCGCTGGGCTGGAGAGAGCAGAGGCGAGGGGACCCGAGACCAAGGGGACAAGGGGAGCTTTCTGAGTTTGTGTATTTGGGGGTGGGGGGTCAGAGTTCGTGACCCCACCCTCGGCTTGGCGGTGCGCGGTGCTCTTGGCGCCTGCGCGTTTGCGCGGTGGAGAAGCGGCCGGCCGTGGTGACGTTCCCTGGGCGAAGCCGAGGGCCCCGGAGTCCAGCGGCGGTTCTGGAAGTCGATTGCCCCCTGCAGGTGTGGAGGGAGACCGCCACCGCCGCGGCTGCGTGTCCACCCGATGCCCTGGGAGGATAGCGTCAAGTTCTTCCAATAACTGCAACTCTGGTGCCAGGCTTCCGCAGGCACGTGCACTCAAGTGCACAGACCCAAACACAGGTAATTAGAAATCAAGGACAACCGAGGGCTGGAGAGACGGCTCATTGGTTAAGAGTACTTGTGGCTCCTCCAGAGAATTCCTCGGTTTGATTCCCAGCACCCACGGCCTGTGGTCATCTTCTGAAACTTCAGTTCTATTGGATTTGGTGCCCTCTTCTGGTCCACAAACACGTGCAGAAGTACTAGAAGTAAAACTCGGAAGGGAGGGAGGGAGGTGGGGAGGGAGAAAGGGAAGAAGGAAGGAAAGAAGGGAGGGAGGGAGGGAGGGAGGGAGGGAGGGAGGGAGGAAGGAAGGAAGGAAGGAAGGAAGGAAGGAAGGAAGGAAGGAAGACAAGTCTTTTGAAATTGGACCTACCGGAACCCAGACTGGTCTTTTAACTCGTGATCCTCCTGCCTCCCTCTCTAGTGGTATAGGATTTATTTTTTTAAATTCATTTGTATGGGTGTTTTATCTGCATCTATGCCTGGTACACCACAAGTGTGGCTGGTCCAGGCGGAGGCCGTCAGATCCTCTGTATTTGAAGTTGCAGATGGTTTTGGCCATGTGGGAGCCCGGAATTGAACCTGGGTCCTCTACAAGGGCAGCCAATGCTCTTTAACAGCTGAGCCATTTCTCCTGCTCCTTAAAGGAGGTTTTGACTTTAGAAATAATAAACAATCTAATTGGTCTGGGATAGATGTCTTTAATGTCTGGAAAACTGTTATATTAGTCCACTAGTGCTAAGGGGTTTGTGTAGGGTAACAGGGCCCAGGAAAGAACACCCTGACCCTGACCCTGACCCTGACCCTGACTTGACCCAAGCCCAAGACCTTGTCCCAGAGTCTGATCACAGAATCCCACCAATCCTCAGCATGTGAAACAGAATCCTGTAATCACAGGCCACCCTGGAAAACTCCACACCCCCAAGAAATCCTATATAAAGCCCATTTTCTGCTCAGTTCCCTGAAGCTTCTTGAAGAGGCAGCCACTCTCCTGGGTTTTTCCCTCCCAATAAATCTCCTGTGGATGTGACTTTGTGGTATTACTTGGCTCTTATGGTTGCCAGGCTACCTTTTCCAGAAGAGCTGTAACATGATTTGGAGAACCTTCCCCCCTGCCTGAGCAGAGTTATAACACAGTCTGCCTAGAACCCAATCATATAGAAGAACCCAGCAATATGAGAAGAGGCTGAGGCAAAATCATGTCAAATTTTACCTGGCTATCTTTAGCGAAGAGCAAGAATACAACCACTACTGTGTACCTTATGTTCCTAAGGGCTGCAGTTTGTCCATTTTGCTAGACGATCTGTCCCCAGAGAGTTAACAGTACCTGCTAGTCAATAAAGATCTACAAAACGAAAGGTCACTAGTGGAACATCACATTCTGACAGTGGTCACCTGTGGTAGGAAACTCTGGACTGCATTTTAAAGTACTCTGTGGTTCAGACTTTGAGGTGATCTGGAAATTTCCTTTGCATCAAGATAAACACTGTTGAAAAGCAGCCAGATTCAGGGCAGAAACTAAGTTGGGGGGCAGGGAAACTCAAACTTTTCTGTGGTAGGTAGAATAATTGTCCCTTATGGTCCCACTCTCTCATGTCTATAATCTTAGCACTTGGGAGGAAAGGCTGGAGGAACAGGAGCTTGGTCAGTTTGCAGCTAGCCTGGGCTGCACCTCTAAGAAAATATTGCCGTTTCTCTTTAGAATTAAGTATTTAGACATAGAAAAAGGACTTGCAACAAACTTCCGTAGCAATTAGACCATTTCATGCTTAGTTCTCGGAAAGTCTACCTCTACCTTTTAGCATTGCTTGGTTTGCCCATAATGCAGCCTTTTCAATAACCTCAAGTTAGTCCCATAGGTGAACAAGAGGAAAGCACACCGGATTCCAGGGAAAAGGGTCCTCGCAATGTTTTCTTTCTTCTTGGTTCTCAATACACATGCCCAAAGGGATGCTGTGGTTACCATGGTTACCACTCACCTCCAGTTCATGAACTTAAGTCACAAGAAGATGACTTATTAAAACTTGGACACAGTGGCTCATGCTTGGAATGCCAGTACTTGACAGGCCAAGGCAGGAAGATTGTTATGCATATTTGGTGATACCCTGTCTCAAAAGGAACTATGAATAAATGAATCTTGGAGTCACTCTTGGTCACACTCTAGAATAAGAGGCCAGTGAGGTTCATCTTAAAGGTATGGCTTAGAAGACTGTGTCAAAGTACAGATTGGAGGCACACCTACAATCCCCGTTACTAAGGAGGCTGATATAGAGGGTCTGATACCGAAGGCCACCTTGGACTACATGGTATCAAAGACTGAGTACAAACCAAAACCTCTAATAAAGGACTTCACACCAGCATAGATATTACAGTACATTTATTTTGTACGAATTATAATACATATTAACATTATTTACAATGCTATTTTTATAAATGATCTTATGAACAGTAAGATACAAACCATTATCACTTTCTGTAAAAAAAAAAATGTATTTTGAGAAAAACCTTAAAAGTGATTAATTTCTTTTCTGAAATTGGTTCTTACATGCAGCAAATAACTCCACGAAAAAGAAAACAAGTATTTTGATATTTAGTCTTTTAAAACCTCTACCACCTTTAACTTCTTTTCCTAGCAGGCAAATTCCTGCTAGAACTATTGCTGTCTTCACTGTGAGGTAAAGAAACCTCTTTCCTTCCTTAAAATCCTTCCCCAGTAGTAACTAACTTTTCTTAGAAGGGAAAACTCTACAGATTTTTATTTAGAAAATAACATTAAAAATGGCATATGCTCCAGAGAATGTGTACCGAAGAGACTTTTTAGGGACCCACAGAAGAGATTTGACTCAACAAGCAAACATTTATCCACTGCATGTAAGTGTTCTTGTTGGATGTTGGCTACCTCCATAGAACAAGGGAAAGTGTTTTCAAGAACAGAATTCAGTAAGAATGATCAGAGTGTTTATGAGTGGACGATTACAGGAACCCAGGAAAAAGAGTACAAAAAGTCTAAAGGACAGGAGACATCACTGGGAAGTGTCATATAACAAGGGGCAGAGCTGGGCTGACTTGAGGATGGTACGAACAGAGAAAGGCCGAAGCAGGCCAAACTGCTGGGAATGCCACTGAAGTTCACAGGAATAGGGATTAAATCAGAAATTCTGCAGTACACAGATGGCTTTGACAATGCCTAAAACAGACTACACAGAAGAGGGGTTGAAATCAGGAGTAAAAACAAAACAACAGAAACGGTTGTTTTCCTAGATAAGGGCTTGAACCCAGGGCCTCCTACATAGCAAGTGAGTGTGTACCACTGTGGCTCAGAGGGAGAGCTGGAGCATCCACAGGGGATGTAACAGCAGAAGAATGAAGATGGCGAGGACAAGAGAGACTCAGAATCAGATTCCAGAGGTCCAGGTGGTCCTGAAGAAAACAGATGTAAATGGGGAGAAAGCTGGGTGCTAGTCTTGCCATGAATGTGGGCTTGCAGGACGGTGAGCAGAGTAGATCAGAGGAGCTTTGGAGACTATGTCAGCGGTAGCTGCGTCTTGTACTGAGTTAGGCAGGGTGACACCCTGAGGATGAGGCAGTAGGAGCAGCGTTGGGAAAACAGTGAGATTCTTACTCAAGGCAAAACACCTTGGAAAGCCAGTCTTCAATGTATTTAACTAAGGCAGCGAAGATGCAGCAGAAATGCATTGAACAAGCATGGTATCTATCCTTCAGGATCATGGAGTGCAGTGAGGTAGGATTCCTTCTGGAAACTGCAGCATTTTGACTACAATGAACACAATGGAAGTGCACGTAAGGCATACTCCATATGGTGATAATTACACTAGGTTCTCAGATAGGAGGCTCCTCCAGTCCTACACAGCCTACTATGTATCTGGCTAACGAAAACATACTTTCAAGTTGTTTTCCTCAGTGCTATTCCATTGTGTTATAAATCAAAGTGGGGTGTCTGACTTCATTTTTTAAAAATGTCAGTAAATACTCAAAGAATCAAGCTTCTTACTGGAGAAAACAAGGGCTGTCAGGGAAAACGGAACGATACTGGTTACATCAAAAAGTGGAAAGAGGTTCAGAAATGTAGGGTGTGACAAATGCCCCTTTTCATTCTCTTAGGACTTTGGGGTGAGGGTCATGCTCTGTTTTAACTGCTGCAGACAGAGGAAGAGCATTGTTGGGGACACTGGGAATGTTCCCTGCCCCAGCTCAGCCTGCCACCTTGTCTCAGTGACTTTCCAGCTTAATGTAGGAGATGCTTGAGCCAAGACTTAGCGACTTGTGTAATGAGCAGAATTCCAGGGATGCAGAATTGAGATGCCCTCCACTTCTAGACTGCCCTGGCACTGCTCATCCATCAATGTTAGCAACAGAACGAGCTCAGAGAGAGAGAGAGAGAGTGTGTCTGCACAGAGACCCTGGGTTTAGAAATATTTTTAAAAGTAGTTTTATAACAAATTATAAATGCATGCTTATCAAATGCCATTGAATGAGCCAGGTTAAATAAATGGTTGACAGTCTTTAGTAGGTTATGAAGGGGACGACAGAAAGTACAATCTTACATTTAGAATAGGGGTCACGATCTGATAGCTTCTAAGCTGCCTTCTCTAAAGCTTTTCAGAGGACTAAGCAAATATAATCACACTCAGATTTCAGCACCTAAGAGTTACTCTGTGCGCTAACTTCTCTTTATACATATTCAGAGTTTGAACAGTTTATTGATTCTGTCACATGTTAGAAGAAAGAGTGACCTAGCTAATACTTTTTAGACTTTTTGAGGCTTACAAGAAAATTTTAAATAGTTTGATGATTCAAAGAGGACAAAAGGTAGAAATATAAAGTAACAGGAGCCCCAGTTTCCAAAAGGAGTGCACTATAAACGTTACACAGATGCTCACGAGCAAACACTTAGGTGATCCGATTAAAATATGTTTTGATGAACTGATTTGCTTCCTGTGGCAAGGAGGGTAGCATGTAATGTTTTGTGAAATTGCACAGGGCTTCAAATTATGCCACAGCCAGAGACATCCAAGAAAAACTGGACCTGTTACCTCTAGGTCTACTTCATCTCCAGCAAATAGCATCCAAAAGGCCTCACGAAGGTGTTCAGGATAAAAAAATAGTATTTAGAATATAATTCTCTATTATTGATATCACACTAAAAACCATATATTAAGAAGCAGAAAATTCTTGCAGCCTTTAATAGGATATTTTATGGATAACCTGGCCTTTTAGCTGATAGCTTAAACTTAGTCAGCAAAATATTTAAACACTGATGCAATTTGAAGCCTAACTTCATTCTCCTGCTACTAATCAACAATTTCACATGTAAGCTGGTTTGCATGTTAGACAGCAAGTGCACCAACCAGAATTAAGAATACGAAACTTTTCTATTGAGGGACAATGACTGAAAGTCTGTGTGGCAGTACACATCTAAATTCCTAGGATGAAGGAGCTAAGGAAGGGTGGTTAGCATCAGGCCAGCCTAGGCTGCTTGGAAGGACCGTGTCTCAAAAAAGACAGAGAGGGGTGGGGAGAGGAGAAGAGAAGGTGGGGAGAAGAAGAGGAGGAAGAAGAGGAGAAGGAAGAAGAGAAAGAGGAGGAAGATGATGACACTTTAAATGTCAAGGGGAACAAATCAGAGTAGCATAAAGGAATTTAAAAAAATAGTGGTTTTGGATCACTTGTAAAATACATGTTACAGAAAATGTGACAGCCTTTTAGATATAACTACCACCACTGACTTGGCCTCAGAACTTTAAGAGTAATAGAGGGTATTAGGTAACATGTTACCTGCCATATTGTGTTTTTTTCCAAACATTAATCACTGAGTTTGGTGGCACACACATGTAATCCTAGCAGTTGAGAAGCCATGAGTCACAGGCTGGCATGGGTTACACAAGCTCCAGGTCAGCCTGGGTTCCAAAGTGAGCTTCTGTCTCAGAAAACGAAGAGGTAAAAAAAAAAAATCACATTTACACTGAATTGGCAGTTTTAAATAAAGACTGGGCGTGGTGGTACAGGCCTGTGACCCCAGCTGCTTAGAGGCTGGAAGGCTGCAGCTCAGGCTTTGCCTAAGCTACAGTTAGTTCGAGGCCAGCCTGGCAATTGACAAGATGCTATGGGGTGTGGGAGTTTGGGGGTCTGGGGACAGCGTTATCAGTACTGACTCTGCTGGGTGCTGGGATTTCATTTCACAGTTTGAGGTAGAAGCTGGCAATGTGCATCTCTACTGCAATACAAGAAATTCCACCTAAGTTTAGTGACTCCACAGTACTCACTTTCATCAGCAATTTTAACACCGGAATTTCTAAACCAAACATTGCTACTTAGTCTGTGAGCTCTACCTGCACAGATCTACTGACAGTGACAGTGTCATGATGTAAGGCAGAGACAGCAGTGTGGATGGCACATCATCAATAGTGCACGGAATACAGTATTACGGTAAGTTCCCAGTCTCTAAACAGTACTTTAGGGTTCAGTGTGAGTCTCAGAAACAATTCTGACCAGCAAGTAAACATCAACATTTTAATAAATAACACATATGAAAAACAAGTTTAGGAACTGTATATACCTAACAAACCATCTATCTCATAACGACTGTGGGCGGATTTGTCTTGGCGGTGTTCGTTTTTTACGTGGCTTTTGAGTAGCTTTTATTCCATCCTGCTGAACCTCCACCTTGTTGGAGCCGCGGAGGAAAAGCAGCCAGTGCTGCTACAATACTGTGCCCTCCTGAAAGGCGTCTATCCACCTGGTGATAAGAGACATCCGTTAGGCCTGAGAATTGAGCTGTGTGGCACTTGTGAGTGTGGCACTAAGATCTCTCTTACAGCACACTGGGGTTCTTACACAAAGGTGCTAGCTATCCTTTATTTGGCAATGTGATCCAACGTGTCGCCTGGAGAGTGTTCTTTGTGGCGGACATTACTATCTCGTGTGAATGTTCTAACATGTCCTAGAACGAGTGAGAAGGCACAGTAGGTAAAGGTGCTTGCCACCAAGCATGACAACCTGAGTTTAGTCTCTGGGACCTACCTGGTGGAAGGTGGAAACCTGCTTCTGCAGACTAGCCTCTCACCCCTACACTAACGCCATACGAGCGTGCACACACTATAAGGAAGTGTTAAGCATTTGTGTGTGTATGTATATATGAATGTGTACATATATATGAGTATATGTGTGTGTGAGTGTGTATGTGTATGAGTGTATGTGTGTATATGTGTGTGCATGTATATGTAAATGTATGTGTGTATGTGTCTGTGAGTATGTGTAGGTATATATGTATGTGTGCGTATGTGTGTATGTGTGTGCATGTATATATGAGTGTATGTGTGTGTGTATGTGTATGTTGTGTGTGTATGTATATGTATGTACACGAGTATGTGCATGTGAGTGTGTATATGTAAGTATGTGTGTGTCAGTGTGTGTGAGTGTGAGTATATGTGTATTTGTGTGGGGGTGTATACATGAGTGTGTGCACAAGTATGTGCATGTGAGTGTGTGTGAAAGTATGTGTGTGAGTGTGTATATGTGTATGTGTGTGTATATATGTGTGAGTGTGTGTGTGTGTGTGTGTGTCTACTTGGCTATGGGAGACATATGTCATCAAAGGCCCTTACTACACCGCCCTTCCTCTCTCTCAGGTGTCCTGACTCAGTGAGTTTTGGGAACTAGCTATGGGCTTGGTTTTCCCCTTAACCCTATCAACCAAAATTCCCTTGTATGTCCCTTAGATCAAACTTGTTCCATGTTTCTCAATGAAAGGGAACTGATCTGGCACTTAGTCTATGCTAAGATCAAAAATTTACATACAACATAAAAGCTTTCCAAAATCACCTCTCAGAAGTCCTTCCATCTAAAAGCCTCGTCTGCGAGCACACAGCTGCAGCTACTGAGAAGACACCTGGGGTGTGCCCATTCGCTCCCTGGACTCCCTGGACCCCACCCCACCCACCATGCTCACTAAAAAATGACTTTTTACAGTAACGGATTACAGAAGAAAGACTGGAGTGAGCTATGAACATCTGAAGTCACTAAACTGAAGAGTAGCTCGTAATACATTCAGCTCAAATTTCAAGGACAGGCTTTCCAAAATGACACATTTTAGGCACAAATAGCTTATGTTATACTGCAATAGAATACTTTTAAGAAATCCCACAGGGGCTGGAGAAATGATACAGCACTTCTGAGCACCGACTGCTCTAAGGGAACCAGATTCAGTTCCCAGCACCCAGCTGGTGGCTCACAACCAGAGGACCTGATCATTCCTTCTGACCTCCAACAGGCACACATGTGGTACAAGGACATACGTACACACGCAGAAACAGCCATTGTTGCTTACCCTAAAATAGCTGGAGGCAGGGGGATCACAGAGTGTAGCCCATGCCTGGTGGGTACTCAGGAAGGTGTGCATCTAACACATTAGCCTACAAGACTTCCCTCCGAACTTATACTTGTATCCCCAAGAACTTAACCCTAAAGCTGAGAAGACTTGACCCCTAGCTGAAAGCAGCAACATGCTTTGTGAGGCTGACTAAATCAGATGAGAGGTAAGCTGAGCTTTCGGGCAGAGGGGGCCTTCATGTCACAGAGACACAGCTGCAGGGAGTCTCCTGAGACCTTAAATCAAGATTGTTGCTGGCATTCTGAAGAGACTTCCCACCTTAATAGTCGAAAACACTGTTTCCTTCTACTGGAAACAGCCTGTGAGTCTCCTACTGTGCCTGACTTTCCCTGCAGAGTAGTAAGCTAGCAGCAGCTGTTTTAAGCCCTGCTGGTCCGCAGAACAACGAGAGGGGGGAGTTCTGCCATCTCTGGAGGAGAGGGCTTACCTGCATGTCCGCCTCCCTCAGCAGCGTACCAAGTGCTTTCTCTGGGTCACATGCCGACCAGCAGTATGGACAGAACCACCCAACTTCTGTTTTAAAATGACCTGAGTAACAGGTTAAGTCCTTCCAATTTGGATCTGATTTAAATTCTGAGCTGTTCCCTATGCTTTTAAAATGCCACTTAAAAGAACAGCTTGAAAGCTCCCGTAGAAAAGGGAAATCTGCATTACTTACCTTTGAGTGGAGTGGGCATCGTCTGCCTTAAAGACATAAAACAGCATGCCTTTGTGCAGTAGCTGAAACACTTTAGACTCTGAATTCTCATCTTTGACTTGAGTGACAGTAAATCCTAATAAAGGCTGACTTTCCAGAGCTGCCACGTCCTAATTTAAAAACAGACAAAAGGAAGACAGGCTTTTAGGTTGAGCTACAAGGCAGGCTTGAAAGGTCTTGCTTTGTAGAGCTCAGTTCATACACAACACAGGACTTCTAACACCTTGTCTTTACTTAACGAGCAGTGAGCCACCTACTCGCCACCTGCCAGCTCTCAACCTGCTCATAGTGAAGCCAGTGAATTATGGTTTTCACTGTGACCAAGAAAAGTAGGCGATGATCATTCATTTTACAGAGGGAGATACTCAACACTTAGAGCGGTAAGTGGTTCTCACCAAGATCCCACCCAGGAACTCTGGGACTCCTGCTGCTTGGGACAGGGTCTCCCGCTACAGCTCAGGCAGACTTGGAACGCACAGTAATTCTCCTGCCTGGATTCTCCAAGCATGTGCCACCATGTCTGCTCTTCCTTCCTCCTTTTCAGAGTCTCATGTAACTCAAGGTAACCTCAAACTCCTCATGTAACTTGAGGCTGACCTTGAACTCATCCTTTTCCCTTCCAGACTGAAGGCCTGTGCTAACATACCCAGCTGCCCTAGAGGTTTTCACAGGCTGCTGAGACACAGATCACGTGGGGCAAAAAGGCAGGACCCCAGGACAGCTAAGGACAGTTCACGACAAAGCGTATCTTATTTGTGCTGTTGCCTGTACAAGCTGGGGACACCCAGGAAAGACTGGAAGCAGGGCAGTCTCTGTCTTGTGTGAAATAGCATTCTTGTGGCAGTAAAAGCACCTGCATTTTAGGACTCTGGAAAACTCCTAACATTCGAGTAAGAACTCATAGGAAAAAAAGAATAATATTGTTCACATTAAAAGTACTAGTAACAGGCCAAGCATGGTGGCTCACACTTGTAATCCCAGAATTGGGGAAGTTGAGGCAGGAGGATGACTATGAGTTTGAGGACAACCTAGGCTAAACAGTAGGTTAGAAACCAACCTGGGCTCTATCTCAAAAAACCAACGACCAATAACACAGCAACTCCATCTCCTGGGGCCTAAAACAGTGCTTGCTGGGCATGCCCAGGGCCCCACGTGCGTCCTCGGTTCTACATAAAACAAGAGCCCAAAGTCACTCTTAAGAGTCTGCCTTACCTCGCTTGCAGCGTATGTGTAGAGTACTTTGTTTTTGATGACAAACCATAAGTGTTTCCATGGCTTTTTACTGCCCTTGGATCTGTAGAGGTAGCCGCTCATAGTGGAGTCTTCTGTGTTTGCTGACACCTGGAAAAGCAAGTGCTACGTGTAGTTCAGTGGTTCGTAGAACAGCAAACACCACAATAAAAAGCACAGTTACTCGCAACCACAAGCTATTGAAAGCTACACCACGGCAACGTGTCAGAATAACACTGGGTTTTCTCTCTATTTGAGGGAGTTCGGTAAAGAAATCTGCCAACGTGACTGCTCAATGATATGGTTAAGGTTTTTATTATAGATATGAGAACGAAGCCAGAGGCAACTGGAAAAATCCGGAGCAGAGACAGAAAGAAGGAGACTGAACTTGGCCAGCAGACAAAACAGGGCCAGGGCTATCTGCTAGAGAGGGGAGAAGAACCCGGGCTAGAGAGGGCTGAGAACAGCCAGAGCAGGGCAGAGTGAGGACAGCTGGGCTGTCAGATGCCTGTGAGCTAGAGCAGCTCAGGGTGTGTGTGAGGGGGATGGAGGGGATGAGAAGGGTTGGGATGCTGAGGGAGCCTGGATGTCAGCATGCACTCTGATCTGCTGTCAAGCACCCAAAACTTAAGCAGCCATCTTGCCAATGACTTGGGTCATAAAATGAAGAAAACACTGCAAGGCATCAACCATCTCCACCAGACGATTAAAATTTATGTCCTAATGGGGATGGCAATGATACCATTCTTTATGAAATTCAGCCCTGTCAGGTTTAACGGAAACACTTACTTCTTTGAGAGCAGCGGGGATTTTCTTCTGCTTCCTCCCTGATGGGATGCTATGTAAGACTGAAGACAAGGCACTTGAAGGAGACTTGTGATTTCCAGGAGACCCAATCCTAGGGGACAGCTGGTGATCTGCAACAGATCAAGTATGCTCATGTGGCAAGCAAGGGTAAGCACACTACTAACATCAGTAAACAGCGACGCACAAGATGCCCATGGAAGGGATCTCAAGAGACAAAGACAGAAGGCAGGCTGAGCGGGAGCTCAGCTGATGGTGCGTACACTTCTTCAACTGCAAACCACATTTTCCGTGTCTGTAGAATTCTGACACAGTAAGGGACACAGCTCAGTGACAGAGGGCCTACTTTGTGTGCACAATGCCCTGTGATCCGTCCTCAGTACCAAAAGGTAAAGTAAGAATTCCTTATGAAGGGCATGGGCCATGCCTGTCACCCCAGCCCCTGGGAGATGGAGGCAGGAGGATCAGAAGGTCAAGGTCCATCCTCGCTTACAAGGTCCATCCTTTGAGGGAGCAAGTTCACCCTCAACCTGAGTTACACGAGAGTCCATCTCAATAAACCATAAGCCAATCCATTAGTTCTGAAATATACAAGGATACCATCAATCGTACAACCTTCCCTACTGACTCAGAGGTCGATATAGACAACGGAGACATGTATGAATGAATACATGCCTT